ATGATGGCTCAACAGGGGTATCTTCCTGGATTAGGTTTAGGAAAGGAAAATCAAGGTATTACTCAACCACTTGAACCTAAAGCATATGCTAATAGAGCTGAAACTGGTTATCACCCTTTATCTTAAAGGCCACTGTTCTTAAAAGTCACCATGATGTTCATGTATAACTGAAAAATTGTGCTCTACAGTGGAATTTGACACATTGTGAAATGACTATAACTCAATAAAAAAATGTAAAAAAAATCACCATGATTTTCCCAGACCAATCCCCTTGAAATGAAAAACTGATGTCCCTATCTGGGTTGAACAGAGGCCTTTGACAAAAGAAAAGCTAGATGCTGTAAACAGTTTAATACAAGAGCAATTGGAAAAGGGACATATTGAAGTCATTTAGCCCTTGAAACTCTATCTTTCCTATTAAAAAGAAATCATGCAAATGGAGACTTCTCATTGATTTGAGGGGAATAAACTCCATGATCCAACCCATGGGACCTTTGCAGCCTGGACTGCTCTCTCCTTCTGAAGGAGGATTAATAAAATGGCCACACTTAGGCTAACAGATTGCTTATTCTTATGTTTGTCCTTAAAACGGTCAACTGACCTGACTGGCCAGTTGCTACTCACAGTTCCAGGCCATTGTTAAAACAAAAGCTATTGATCTTACTGTTTCTACTTTATTCCAGTCACTGAAAGTAATAATCATACTTGGTCTCTGAGTCATTCTCTAAGGAGGTCACAGGACTGTAACCTTACAAAATAGCCTGAATTACCAAGAAGACCACACCTTGAGTGTTTACAAGACAAAGAGATCTAACTGCTGGCCTCTATAGAACTGGTCACCTGAAGGCATCATGTCACCATTCTAAGTCTTCTGATGAGAAAATTATTCTGTTGCTTGTTATCAATGCTGTATTGTTTGAGCTATGGCTGTATATCCACCCCACCCCATCTCCAAGGTGGGTTCGGTTTTGAAGGCACTAGCCTGCTATGAGTCCCCTTTGCCAGGCAAAACAATAAAATTGCCTCTTCTAAGCTCCAAGACCTTGTCTCTGAATTATTTGGCTCATCAGGGATGGGACCGATCTTTTGGCAACAAAATCTTGGCGCCCACGCCGAGGCAAGAACCACCCTCTTTTCTAAGAGGGGCTTCAGGTTCCATCCCGTTGCCAGGCCAACAAGGCTCAAACGACTGCCACTCCAGGCTGACAGGAAGGACAACAGAATGGAGCCCAGCAACTGCCAGAGCCTTTTTGCCCTGGGGATCCTTTCATCCCATGCCCTTCCATCCATCAACGGACTGCAACCACCCAAACTAACTCCTTGGAGGAGGAAAAGATTTTTCTGTTTCTTCTGAAACGTCGCATCTGATCTGCAGGCCTAGGGTAAGTTCCCGGTGATGACCGAGGCCCCTTGATCTCACCTTGAGAGTTCTCTAATTAGACCGACAGGGAACTCTTGTTTGTATCTGAAACGGGTACCCACTTGTAACAGAGATCTCTGGGCTGAGAGGACTTGGAAGCAAAAATATTTGTAGTTTGAAATTTGAATTTGCTTTAGCCTGTCATTTGTAAGTTTGTGCTTCCGTTTACCGATAAAGGCCTGGTATTGCAATCTGAAATTTGCATTTGTATTTGTACTTTGTATTTAAAATAAGTTGCTATTGGTGGGGGGGGGCTGTCTGTTCCATCTAATAGCCCATTGGGTAAGATTTTGAATGACTGGTTTAATTATGGTTATCCACCTATGACTAAGAAAAAGATGGTATTTTACTCTAATACTGCTTGAGTAATGTACACTTTAGCTGTGGGGAACACTGACCTGAAAATGGGTTGGTAAATTACTAAATCATTCTCCAGTTAGAACTGTATTGCCAGAGAAAAGGTAAACAGGAAGAAATACCATATATACAAGCCTTTATGAAATACCATGTATACAAGCCCGTAATGAGAAAGGTAATGATTGACAGGGCTCACGGCTCTTAGCCATTTTAAAGACCCCTGTAACAATTGCCACCCAAGAGCCTTAGGTACAACTGACAGTGGGGTCTCAACTAGTGGACTTTCTAACTTCTAAACGTCTAACTTTTAAACTTCTGTCCCAGTATCAATGACTCAACTGCTGTTATGACCTCTGGAATGCAAACTTTGAGAAAGGGAGTAATTTGGAAAAAACAGAAATCTTAAATGTCTTCTATAGAAGTTAGCAAAAATGTTTAGTATCTAGACAGGCAACTTTGATTTATTCCATCTGCCAGAAACCCAATTTGACTCCAACCTCTTGTAACTGATGAGTCTTACACTGTGGTATCTGATTCATAGCTAAAAGTTTAAAACAGGAACTATGAGATCTCTGTGTTTGTGTGTTTGTACGTACCCATATGTGTGTTGTAGATGTGTGGCATTGCCAAAATTAATTTGTAAAAGAGCTCTATTTAATTGGCTTAAAGAAACTCAAATGCTTATATAAATACTCAGAAATATAAAAGAAACTGGCCAGAATGAAAGTTGGATTCATATGATCTAAAAAAAAATCAGTACTGAATCGATGCCTGATATTTGAAGCTAGCTTAAGCCTATTGGTTTAATTAATATAGACATGTCTCAAAATTCATTAATGTTAAGCATAAAATTTCTATTGTACTTAGGTTTAATATAAGTCCAATAAGACATTGTCATATCTGTTACAAATTTGTCAGCAAAAAAAACAAGTTGGAATAATATTCTTGTAACTAACTTAAATGCAAATGAGAAAGAGCTTTTGGGTAAACTTTTAAGGAATGATTATTTCAGGAATGTTCACTCAAATGATCTCCCCAGATATTTGGTAACTCAAAACTTTAGAGTTTTGCTAAATTAAGTTAAATGATGGAAGTTTATTAAATAGTTAGGTCATTTTCAGATAAAATAATATATCAAAACATTAATTGTGGAATATTGACTTCCTCTTATAGAGAAACTAAAGATATTTAGAAATAAATATTAACAAATGTTGTTAATGAAAAAAAGAGTGACTTTGTCTTAAAGCTAGTTGCTTCTGAATGAAAAAGAAAACAAGGGACAAAATAATATGGATACAGAAAGTTATGGAAGGTTTGTGAAAGAGGAACCCTGAGAAAAGAGTTTTGTACATGGCTGAGGTTGGCTAAGTTTAAAATAAATTTAGTTGATTAAATAAATCTTAAAAGTAAGCTGGTACGAGGTGATTAGATTTGGTTCTCTCTCTCTCTCTCTGTTATGAGGACAAAGTTTTCTTAAAATGTTAATCTGCTTTTAGTAACAGATTGTAAAGTTTCTTTTACCCGTTAAGTGATCTGTTCTGTATTTACCCTTGGACTATTTTTATTGTTAATGAATAAGTACTGTTTCATAGTAACCTATACTTTTATCTGACCAAGTGTTTTGAAACTTTTTAACAAGCTTCCCAAATATCAAATTTTAATCAGAATTCTTTTGACCTACAGCTAAATCTGCGATACTTCAGAGGACCCCTGAAACATCCCAAAGAGAGATTTTAAACTAGTAAGTTTCATTTGGTATGTTAAATAACATAGGAAGTATTGTCAAATGAATAATAAATCTTCCTAGGTTATATTGTATGGAAAATATTATTAATATAGATATTCTAGAAATTACATGGAATCCCTAAAAATCTGGTATGTCTAAAATGTTACCAGTCATAATTATGGTTATTGTAACCAGATTTCTTTATCGATTACAGTGTAACTAAGTGTTTAACCATGCTTTTAAGTCTTTTGTCATTTATAGACAGTTACTCTTTTATTCTGATGCTTTTGCGAAATGCTTTCTCCTCAAGGAGATTTACTGGTTTCTGATAAACTTCAAACTATGGCACTGAACTAAACTGGGTAAGAAATTTTAAAAGGCTGATGAAAACTGATTTTATAAAACTGTTAACAAAAAAGAAAGGATTAGTTACATGGGGCTGAGTAAAGTGATGAATATGGTTATAATTTTTGGTTTTGTCTGAAGTATTAATGGCTTTTAATCCGTGTTCTCCAGATATAAAGAAGCCCTTCTTCTCAAGTTAATTATGACTTATAGCAGTTTGGTAAACTATACCTTTTGAAGTAGAATTAAAACAATTATCTTTTCTCTCTATCTGATCCCTCCAGAGACTGGAAACTTTTAGGTTCCCAGTGGCTTTATCAGATAAATTAGGAAAATTACCTTCTAACAGGTATAGGAATCTCAAGGTATTTTTGAGGACCTTGAAGAGGAAAGAATTCACCTAAGTCTATAAGGCAAAATTTCCTGGCCTTAGGAAACCTTATTAAAATTCTAGCCTGAGATTCCTTATTAAAAGTTATAACACAGCCAATTTAAAAGAGCCTATATGATCAAATAATCAGACTTAATTTGTGGACAAATTAATCTTGATTTAGCTATATTTGATAAAACTGAGGGTAACTTTAGAGAGAAAAAGATTATATTTCAGTGGATATTAAATTCTAGTTTTTTTTTAAACTGAATTCTAGTTTTGTTAATTGAGGTCTATATTTACTAAGACTCACTTCCCAGATCATTCCTTGCTGTCTTGATACATTGCTGCAAAGTTTAATTGAATTATTAAAAGGACAGTCTAGGTTTGTTTCTGAAGCTCTGTCATCTGTCCTTGGATGAAGATCCAATGCCCCATCACCTGCAACCAGGAGACTATACATACTGGAACAGACATGATTTAAAGAACTATCTTCAGTCTGAATGGAAGGACCCTTTATCAGGTATTCTTAACTAGACCACGCACAGTGAAAGCTAAAAGAAATTGACTTTTGGATTAATTTCCAGTCAGAAAGAGCCCCTGCACCGGACTGGCCTATAGAGGACTGCTCACCTTAAAACAGTGCTCAAGTGGAGAAGAAGCTACCAGACCAGGATGAGAAGAAGACGACATCTGAGGTAAACAGCTGACCCAAGACACCGGACCAGGCCTGTATGCCAATTACTATGATAACTGCTCATATCTTTGCTTATGAACAATGCCTGTGTAACATTTTCCTTAAAGATAAGGACTGGTACAGAACAGACCAAGTCAAATGACCTGAGGATACACTGAGCTGCTCCTAATGAAGTTCTTGGCTTAACTTTTTACTTATGACCTTACTAATACTGCTAACTATATTATTTATATTTTGCCTGTTTCACAAAATTGTTATTTCTTGCATTATCAAATATGTGACTGAGCCTCTGATAAAATAATGTCTAGGCAACTTTAAACAGTAAAATACTTCTGTATGCAACCAATGACTGTAGTAGTAGGACTTTAGATACGGGGCTACCTATGACTATTAAAGCAGATAATGGACAGGCTTATACTAGTAATCAGCTGAAACAATACTTTGAAAAATGACACATTACTCATACTACTGGACTTCCTTATAACCCCCAGGGTCAAGCTATTGTTAAACGAGCTAATCATTCTTTGAAACAAATGTTACAAAAACAAAAAGGGGGAAATGGTAATATTCATGCTAAATTACATAAAGCCCTATTTACCTTAAATTTTTTAACTGTTCAAGCTACATCTGACACTGCCACTGAGCTTCATTAGATCCCCTCATCTAAGTCAAAACAGCGTTTTCCTGAATGGCCCCTAATTTGGTGGGAAGATCCATTAACTGGGATATAGTCTCATGGGAAGTTAGTAACATGGGGATAAGGGTTTGCATGTGTCTCCCCAGGGCCAGATACAGAACCCATGTGGGTGCCCAGCTGGAGGATTAAGCCCCACGATGGACAGTCAAAAGAAAAGACACTTCTACTGGGACGTCGAAAGGCCCGTAATGCAGATGGAAGGCTTAAAGATACAAACAACTCAACTGACTGATGCTGCCCACCGTGCTCACATGGGGCCAGATTGAACGTTTATGTCAAGAAGCAGAAAATCTTCTGGAGGAACAGGAAAAACCGGCTACAGCTCCCAACCTGGTTGCAGCCACTTTCTCCCTAATTACTATTGCAGTACGTAGTCTCCCATGTACCTACGCTAGCAATTATACATACTGGGCATATATTCCTAACCCGCATTGCTTCGTCCAGTTACCTGGGGTGAGCCTTCCGTGCCCGTCTATGTTAATGATTCTTCATGGATCCCGGGACGGAGGATCAACGATTACCACTGCATCCCTTGGAAGAAGGGATGCAGTTCAATATAACTATGGGTTTTGAGGACCACCCTATATGTGTAGGAATGGCTCTCAAATGCTTAAAATTATCCATGCAAGCTTGGCTGGCTATTAGTCCAAAAAATAGAAACTCCAGCAAGGCTCAGTTACACATGTTTTCTGGGTTAAGTTTTAGATATGAAGAAGTTAATAATACTGATCTAAATCCACCGAAGTGACTTTTGTGTAAAATTAATAGAATTTGGGCTACCGAGAGAGACGTTATCCATTGGGATCATTGCCGAGGAACTAATTATGTGATTTTACTTAATGATTCCTATGGAATTGTAGTGGACTGGTCCCCTAAGGGGTATGCAGTCCAGAATTGTTCACATATAAATTCCTCTTGTAATCCTCATAAAGCTTTGAAGTGGAGTGTGAATAACTGTAATCATACTTCTATCACCACGCATGTGGAATATCCTATCATCTGGCATGGGGGAATCATGGTAGCTCCCATCCCGCAGACATTTGGTAGGGCAATCCACAACGAAGTATGGAAAATGGAAAATGGCCTTGAGCCTCCGAGAGTTTAAGATATGGGAAGGTCGTTGTCGACACAATCAAAACTACTGCCTCAATTTTCATACCTTTCCTAATTCAACCCATTGTATTCAAACCTGCCTGAGAAATCCACTTGTTTTTCTTACTGAGACATTTTCTTTTAACCATTCTAATAAGGAACTTTTTGGACAGGGAATATTGTATACCTGTATGAACACTACCATGTATCATGCTCATCATTCTTATTTTATCTTGAGAAGGCATCTGGGCTCCTGGATTCCTCTTTGCCAGATCAGGCCTTGGGAAAGTTCTCCAGACGTGCATGCTTTACTAACCAGTTTGGAGACGTTACTCAAACGTTCTAAAAGATTCCTTGGATTGCTAATCACGGCAATAATGGGCATTATAGCCATTGCCACCACTGCTGCAGTGGCAGGGTTGGCGTTGCAACAAACCATTCAAACCACACATTTTGTGCAGGAATGGCATGAAAATGCTAGTTCTGCTTGGGGGAGTCGAACTCACATAGATGAAGCAATCAACTCTCGTTTAATTGACCTCGAGAGTGCTTTGGTTTGTCTAGGGGAGGAAATGCAAAATGTTAAACTGCGATTACATTTAAAATGCAATTGGAATGTCACCTCCTTTTGTGTAACCCCATATTTATACAATCAAACTGCCACCCCCTCTGAATACAGTTTTTCGCCACCTTTTGGGGCATAAGATAACCTAACCCTGGATGTAAAACCATTACAGGCCAAAATGACTGGTATGCAACATGCGGCCCAACAGTTGCTGCCTTCCTCTGAAACTATAGTGGGCTAGAATCATTAAACCCTGTTAGCTGGATTAAAAATTGGGGAGGAGGGTTATTAGGGCTATTGTCATGTTGGCTATATGTCTAATACTTCTCTGCTTAGTCTTCAGGTGCTTGCAGCAAAACTTCAGCAGACTAATGAAGAATGCTGCTCTCTCTGCGTTCCTCCTGATATAAAAACAAAAAGGGGGAGATATGGGAAAACAAGTCAACATGATGTCTCCTTGAGAACAAGAAAACAAGAAGTTCCCTTGTGGGGGCCTGGGATGCAGCACAGAACTAAGGTGTTTCCTGAGGGCAAGCAACGCGGGTCTCGGAACACTGAGCCATGCATGAGCAGAGCACTGCTCCTGCACGTACACAATCCCGTTTGCCTAAGGGAGTCATTAAAGTTTCTGTGACGTTCGTTGGCCCCTTCACAAAGGGCCCAGATGGAGACATAAAGATGATTAATACTGCTTTGCTACGCTTTGAACACTGGGGGTCTGTAGATTACTATTACTGCATTGAATTATTCAAAATTATTTCCTGCAGTACGATGACAATACATACAATGCAAACCAGCCGTTCGAGGCTCTTGATACTTGAGATCTTGAGTCCCCTGGTCCCATCTTTGATTCTCTATCTGTCTGTGTGTTTCTTATGTTCTGTGGCACCCGTCCATAAACAGGAACCCTTGTTGCGCTGGACACAAAAGGAGAGAGATATATTAGAGATTTATTACAAAGAATTGGCTTATGTGATTGTGGAGGCTGGCAAGTCTGAAATCTGTAGAGCAGGCTGAAAATTCTCAGGCAAGAGTTGATGTTGCATTGTCAATGCAGGAATTCTTCCTCTTCAGGGAAATCTGTTTTTCTCTTAAGGCCTTTCAATTGACTGAATGAGGTCCACCCACATTATCAAGAGTAAGCTCCTTTACTCAAAGTCAACTGATTATAGAATTAAAAAAATTTTTCCCCAGATTTATTGAGATATAATTGACAAATAACATTGTAGTAAGCTTAAGATGTACAATGTAATGATTTGATAAACATGTATGTTGCAAAATGATTATATGAGAGAATAGAAAAAATACATATTTGTCTCTAACTCTAGTTCCTGGCACAGAGCTCCTAAAACCCTTGTAATTTCCTAAGTAATAACAGTACTGTGTTTTAATAGTTGGTCTTTGACCCTGGTTCCTGACAGGATTCCTAAATCCCTTGGAATTTTCTGGGTAATATCGGTGTCTTTCGTTTTAATGAGGTAATTCTTGGTGAGCTCTTGGATAGGGGCTGGTCACCCAAAAAGACCAAAGCATAATTAGAAGTTTGGAATTTTCATTCCCATCTATTCTTCAGAGAGGGGAATGGAGTTAATAACTGATCATACTTATGTGATGAAGCCTCCATAAAAATCCCAATAGTATGGTGCTTAGGTAACTTCCAAGCTGGTGAACACATCCATGTACTGGGAGGGCAATGCACCCCAACTCCACAGGGATGGGAACTCTTGTGCTTGGAACTCTCCCAGACCTCTTTGATGTATCTCTACATCTGGCTTTTTATCTGTATTCTTTATCATATCCTTTATTATATAATAAACTTATAAAGGTAAGTGTTCCCCTCAGTTCTGTGAGTTGTTCTAGCTAGCAAATAATCAAATCCAAGGGGGCGCAGGTCATGGGAACCCCCAATTTGTATTTAAGTCAGAAGTTGTGGGTAACCTGGGGACCTACTACTTGTGATGGCATCTGAAGTGGGGAGAATTACAGTCCTCTCCTTGTTTCTGCAACTGGTCATGTGGTCGTAGCTAAGAGCTTCTTTCAATACCCATTCCATACTCCCTTTGCTCTCAGCAAGCACCTCAGCTGGTTGTGGTTCTTTGTGGTAGGATGAGCTAAACCTCTATTCCTGGAGAGTCTGGGTCATAAGTAGTCCTGCCTGAACTGCATTGTTATAGTTTTCCACTGGCTTTAATCCTAGGGCATAGTAATAGTAGAAGACTCCCTAAGAGATTACTTGTAGTCCAGATATAATTTTCCATATCTCCATTGTATAGTAGCAGCCCAATTTTCCTTTGGTAATAAGGATCAATCACCCCAATCGTTATAGTAACTCCCTTCTTTGCCTGTTGATTGGAGGCACGAGGAACTCAAAGTAGCCAGGCGGCAGTCTTAACTTCAGGTCAATGGAATCATCGTTGTGTCTCCTAGTGGAAGCATTCCCCCCTTTGGAACTAAGACTTCTAGACAAGCAGAGCATAAGGTCATGGGGACAGAAGCAAAAATTTTGCTAGTAAACCCCTGGGAGTAATAGGGTACCACTCCATTTCTACCTCTTTATTCCTGGACTAGTGAATATTGGTTTAGAGAATATTCAGCCTCCTAGAGGAATCTTTGTACATATCTCTGATTTGATGGGATAAATTTGCAGAAGTAAGAGTACTAAGTCAATAGGTATAAGCATTTTTAAGCGTCTTGATAGACTATGCTCCGTTGCCCTCTAGGATGTCATGTCAGAGTTCACACCCTTTAGAAACATGAGTATTGTCTATTTAAATACACTGTTATCAGTACTGCTACTGCATATTATCATTGTCAGCTCCATTGAATAAACTGTTCTAAGAAGGACTTTCTGTTGAGGAGGGAAGTCAAATATCTTGCAACCACATGCCAGATTTTTAAAAAAATCTGTACATTGATTGAAAAAAAAAAGACCGACAAGCAAAACTCAAGCACTGGTTGGAAAATTGCTACAATTATGATAAAGAAGTTTCCAAAACTACCTCATCGTCTACTTGACATCAGTCCCTCCATCCTCATTAGAATAGGCAGCACTCAATCTGTTTGCAGGTGACCAATAAAAAACCATCATACAAAAGCTACCTTTGTGATTAGAAAAAGCCATTTATAGGTGAAAAAACTAGTTTATGATGAAATACGCAATGCAAGTTCATTTTGCAGAACTGAATGCAATGAAAATACTGGAACAGCCCAATGAATGAACAGGGCACTGGAATTAGGACAAGAATTCCTGTATCTATCCTGATTTCTATATATCTGCGTAGTTGATTATAGAGTTTATTTTTTTATTTTTTAATTTTTTTGGTGGGGTGAGCTAATTAGAGGTTTTTAAAATTTATTATTATTATTTTTTTAATGCAGGTACTGGGGATTGAACTCAGGGCCTTGTGCATGTTAGGTATGCACTCTACCACTGAGCTATACCCTCCCCACATCATAGAGTTTTAAAATACCAAAACTTAAGGATCTGGAAGCAGAAAAGACAACTAGGAAATCTGTTTATGTAGGGTAAACCTACTCAAAGTTATAACATTGTATGAATTTTTCATAATATTGACTTTTTATTTTCAGGTGTGATTGATAATAGTATTGTGGGTGTTTTAAAAGAGAAATGAATAATAAAACACTTATGGATATATAGCAGTCCCTCCTTATCCATGTGGTATATGTTCCAAGACCCCCAGTGGATTGCTGAAACTGTGAATAGTACTGAATGCTTCATATACTATGTTTTTTACTATTCATATATGCCTATGATAAAGTTTAATTTATAAATCAGGGACAGAAACAAATTTCTGGCATGCTCCCTGATTTCAAATTATACTACAAGTTCACAGTAATCAAAGCAGAATGGTACTGGCACAAAGACAGTACCAAAGACACATAGATCAATGCAATAAATCAATAAATAGTGTTGGGAAAGTTGTACAATTACGTGCAAAAGAATCAAATAGGACCAGTCTCACACAGAGTGGAAAAAATAAATTCAAAGTGGACTAAAGACTTAAATATAAGAACTGAAACTATAAAACTTCTACAGGAAAACATAAATAGTATGTTCTTTGACAAATGGTCTTAGTAATATTTTTTTTGATATGTTTCCTCAGGCAAGGGAAACAAAATAGAAAATAAATGGGACTACATCAGACTAAAAGGCTTTTGCCCAGTGAAAGAAACTATCAACAAAATGAAAAGGCAGCCTATTGAATGGGAAAAAGTGTTTTCAAATAATATATCTGATAAGAGGTTAATATCCAAAATATGGAAAGAACTCATACCACTCAACATCACAAAAACAATCTGATTAAAAAATGAGCAGAGGACTTGAATAGACATTTTTCCAAAGAAGACATACAGTTCTTTGAAGACACATGAAAATATGCCCAACATCACTAATCATTTGGGGAAATGAAAATCAAAACCACAATGAGGTACTATCTCCCACCTGTCAGATGGGTACTGTCAAAAAGATAACAAAGAATTAGTATTGGTGAGGATGTAGAGAAAAGAAAACCCTCATGCACTATTAGTGGGAATGTAAATTGGTACAGCCACTATGGAAAACAGCATGGAGGTTCCTCAAAAAATTAAAAATAGAAATGTCATATGATTCAGCAATTCCACTTGGGTATTTTTCCAAAGAAAATGAACACTAACTTGAAAAGACATATGTACCCCAATGTTCATTACAGCCTTATTTACAACAGCCTAGATATGAGAGCAACCTAAGTGTCCACCAATGGTTGAATGGGTAAAGAAGTTGTGTGCTCTCTCTCTCTCTCTCTACACACACACACACACACACACACACACACACACACACACACACACACAGGAATATTAGTCAGCCGTAAAAAAGAATGACATCTTGCCATTTGCAACAACATGAATGAACCTAGTAACGTAAGGAAGTTAGAAGTTTTGATTGGAAAAAGGGTATGTAAGGCATCTGTGATTCCCACATTGAAGACTTCCTCCAAATATCCTTTTACAGAAAGAAAGAAAGCTTCCCAGAAAGAGTGGGTTTCCTCTATTCCCTACCAATTCAATTGTACAGAGAATGCCATACCCTCTGCCCACTGTGACCAAGATGTACCTGTCCACTGCTTGGCCAGATGTGTACTGCCTCACTGTGCTCTGGGGAGAGCCTCTGAGGAAGAAAATGGTTCCCAGACTTAGAGCTGTTTCACTGATAGCTGGAATAAGCAGGGAAGGCATGAGGTCCTAGGTTCAGTCCCCAGCACCTCCATTAAATAAATAGATGGATAAACCTGTCAACTTATTTTACTTACCATGATACCCTCCAGGTCCATGCATGTTGTTGCAAATGTCATGAACTCCACCACTGAGATATACCCTTCCTCCTAATAATACATTATTTTTAATCTCTCTTGCAGCTGGGTGTGACAATGTGACTACATTCTGGACAGAAGGGAAGTGAGCCAAAGTGATGTTAGCAACTCTCAGGTCACACCTTTAATAGGAATATGCACGCCCTTCTCGTTCTCTCTTTGGGACGTATGTAATAATGGTGAGTCAACATTGACTCTACGGATGAGTGTATCACCATGAGTGGACAATAAGATTTTAGAACTGAGTCCCAGGAAGACCTTGGGTAACAGAGCCTCTGAGCAGCCCTGCGCAGTCTACTAGTTCAGAGTTTGTCTAGGAAAGAAACAGAGCTTCTACCTTATTAAGCCACTGACATGTTTGTCTCCATCTAGTCAATATCTTAATAAAGCAGGAAGAAGAAAGGCAAAGAGGGTGTGAAATCTACTTAGAAAACCAAACTCTTTTTTCTTTCTTCTCTCTTTTTTCTTCTTTTTCCCTCTTCTAATCTAGGCTTCGTTTCCTATAGTTATTAATGAATGCACAGACAAACACACACACTTGCTCTTCTATGTCCCATTGGTTCCAGATATTTTAGCTCTTGACATATCAACAGATATATATTCTATGTTTCTTTATAGGGTATTATAAACATTGTTTTGGTCTTCCCGGTATCCATGCTTTAGGTAACAGAATCCTGATTTTACTTTTAATTTCAGTTCATGTGGTTTAGCCTGGGGCTGACCCAGCCATTTGACTCTAGGGTTGATACATAATATAGCTCTGACCAAAGCCGGAAGTGTTGGGAAAAAAAAGCTTTCATAATGCTAGAGTTACTACACTAAAAGTATATAAAGCTGGAGCTACTGGGATCAGTCTGCCATCCCATGGGGGGAGTCTATCTAAGAATAAAGTCAACACTGAGGAAAACAGAACCTCGAGATAGATGCCAAGCCTGATAAATTTGCCTGGGAAACTGCTGCAGTTTAAGAAGAGTTTCTGTCACTTGCAACCAAACAAGTTTTTTTTTTTTTTTTTTTTTTGCAACCAAACAAGTTTTGACATCCACAGGGGATATCAGAACCATTTGTCAGCTCTCTAAGTGACACTTTGGCAGATGTTATGCCAACCCAGATGTTTCTTTAAAAATTTACTTATGTTCCCCATCTTATTCCAGAAAGCACTATTGGTCCCTTCTGGTAAGAAGATTTCTTTTTGTGTTCTGTCCATTTTTCTGTGTAGGAAAAAGGGTACCAACTAGAAATTAGAGTTCTCAATCCTCCAGAGTACCTCCACCACTTCCTAACAGTGAGACCCTGAACAAATCAAGGGAATATACCTGAACCTTGGTTTTCTTATCTGTCAGTTGGATGTATGATTACATACATGCTAATGGATCATACTGAGGATCATGTAAGGTCACATATGTAAACTGTAAAATGCTTTAAACATATTAAGAATTATTGCAAAATGGACTTCCAGGATGCAGGAAATCCCACTTCCTTTCCATAGCCTGATTATGTTGTGAAATTTGGGGTAGGGTAGAAAGGCCACATCTTTCTCCAAAGATTCTGCTAGTTTTCACTTTCCTTGGGAGCATGATTATTTTCCCACATCCTAGCCAGCACTGAGTATTATCAATGTTTAAAATCTTTGCTAGTCTGATAAAAGCAACTCATTGTTACATTTTAGCCTTGTGAATGGTGATTTCCAGGCAGCCGGAAATATTTTTTTTAACAAGTCTCCCAAACCAGCATCCTAAAGCCTGCACAGAGAGCAGAGCAGCAGTGGCTTTTCTCCTGCCTTGGTGTTTCAGCTGACTGCTCAGCATGGTAGTTGGATAAAACAGTTGGCCAGAGGCTTTTACAAGCTGTTGTGGCAACACAAAAGGACATGTTCACTTCTGCCTTATTTGTTGTGTGAATGAGTGAACACATGCCCCAGTGAACCTGCTAAATCATGGTCAAATGATCCACATCTCTTCAAATCCACTTCAGTCCATGCTTGGTATCTTCTGAAATCATTGCATGATTCATTTCTTCCAGGAGTTAATGTCTATGGTGAGGGACCTATTCATACATTTAAACTATAAAATAATGATTAGGGGAAAAGATGGATAAAATTATATTCTATTTTATTTTATAACTTTATGCCTTTCAAAACACTATCACAGCACTATTCTGCTTGAGCCTTTCAAAAACCCTGAGAAGTAGACAATGTCATCCCCATTCTACAGAGGAGGAATTGGAGGCTCAGAGAGGTAAGGCAACTTGCAAAAGCAACACAGTGAATAGACTGTATTCAGAGGTAGGACTAAAGCCATATCAACTGCCACCCAATCCAACAGTTTTTCCCCTGTATCACACTATTAGGGATGTTGTTCACCTCCTGAAATGGTGAGATCAGTACTCACAAAGGCCCATTACACTTTAGGAAGTTCCTTCTAGGCACAGGCAGCTTTGGTAAGGTCATTTGTCCCTCTGGTCCTTTGTAAAGCCCCCTTTCCTTGGCCAGAGCCAAGGGGTATCTCTTACACCAGATTCTGTACACCTACCACCATGAATGTATAGTCAGTGCTAGTGACAAAGGGTACACTCATCTTTCACAACTAGTTAAGGATTGGGGGGTAGAATCAAGATGTAATCACTATCC